CTGTTCAGGAATCTCCAGGTAGTGAGGACTCATTTCCTCAGTCAGAGCAGACTGGGCTGACCCCTGATATCTGTACTTTTGGAGACAGGACTGCTGCCTAAGACAAGGTTTGATAACTTACTGCCCAGTTTGCTCTCTCCTCCCCACCAAAACCTTGAGAAGATAAAAATTTAAGCTAGCCAGGAGTTAAGACAGAGTACTAGAACCAGTTGCCAAATATACACATATACTACTTTGTATGAGTGCAGGAACCTTTTTGTGGGCTTTTTCTTTAGCTAAAAAGCACTTAAAATAGTTTTCAGTACATAATAAGCAATAAAGGAATGTTTCCTAATATTATTATCAGCCCAGTATAATTCAACTTTCCTCCCTATCTCAATGCCTCAGTCGCTACTATATTATCTATTTTCAAAAGAGCTATGCTACCCGTAACAGCATTTTCATTTTCCCAAATGTAGGCAAACACTTTGCAAAGAGAATCATGTAGCATTTCCTCTAATTCACTATATGAAAAAAACCTTATTCACAGGTCCCATCATCAAAATGGGCATATAGAGGAAGAGAAGTAAGTATCAGGCTTTGTTGGGAGCCGAGACCTTGAAGAAACAAACTATGGAGCATCTGATTACAAGAAGTATGTTGGTTGAGAGAAAAGCTCCGGCACACAGCGACTATGTTGAAGGCAAAAGGCCCCATGGATCCTGTTTAATAAACTTTTTGTCTTCCTGCCTGTGCATGCTCACAATTATTATATAGTTTGTTGACTAGTAACGAGATCTTTAATTTATATTATAAGAACGTATACAAAATGTTATGATTTTGATTGGAAAGACTTAAACAGTAATAGTTACTTATAGAAAAACCTTTAAGTTTTATTTAAGCTTTTAAGTTTCCTTTTCCTAAAAGTTATCTTTAACTTTCTGTACCGAAACTCTTTTTATTGTTTTTGCCTCCAACCAAGCTGATTGCTAAGGAACAAACTATGCCGATACTCCCCTGTTACGGTTTCTGCCCCCAGCCAGGCTGTTCAATAAGTTACTATGGCAATGGGATTTCTTACAAACGGTTATGCACTAGCTTACAAGGAAATAGATTTCAAAAATAATTAGATTTGTAATTTTATTAAGTTTGAAAATAAGATAAATATGTTTATAGTTTTATAACAATAAGAATCACACATTAATGATAGTTATACATCTATGATAGTTTAAAGAAAAATTAATAAGATAAGTTTATAAGATATAGCATAGTGTTAAAGTTTAATCATTAAACAAAATAAAATTGTTAAATCTAGATGTGGTTAAAAAGACTCATATGAATCACTGTAAGGTTTTATAGCTTAAAAGTAATTAGTTTTGGGTTAAGTGTTAAAGAATTATATAGCATTATATTTTGTTAAATCATATAAGGTCAATAGAAAATTCAAGATTTTATATTAGGTAGAAATAAAAATAAACTTATAAAGTATATTAAAATCATGGAAAGCAGTTTGTGAAACTATTGTAAAAGCTCTGCATTTATCATCTTGACGTAAGCACGATACGCATCATGGATTCGTGATTGTTAGGGCAAACAAATCTCATGATGTATGTTTCTGTAAAAAACGTTATGCCCTGTGGGATGTGTAAGCCCCCGGCGAATGTCTGTCATATTGCTAGGGGTGATAGAAAATGGTATATAAGGTGGAGGAAGTTTGAATAAAACTTGGAACGGTCTTGGCCAGACCTGATCCAGAAGAACTGCCTCCGAGTCGTTTCTTCTCGCCATCCTGATCCTCCCGATTCAGGCCCAACCCCCATCAAGTCGGAACCGGCTTCCAACAAGGCTTATTATTTTTCAAGTCCCAAAGAAAGTATTAAATGGGACAGGAAAGAGGAGAAAACAGAAGTTATAATTAGACATTGTATAAGCATGAAATACACTTTCTGAATGTACAAAGATTTCTAAGGCTACACAAATGTGTGTCTATGCTCTATTTACAATGTGCTAGCTCTAACTTTCAGTTTCATGGCTAATTACCATGTCTTCTCTCTTGACTAACTTTAAACATTCAAAATAACTTGATTTAACACACACAAGACAGTAAAGACTAGCATATATCATAATTCTTTGCTCAATTTGCTAGATACCTTGAATTTGGAAATTAAAATCTTGATAAAAAGAAACATTCTGTATGCACTGTCACTGTGGGGTTAATTATATGGGCTTGATCTGAGAGTTATTACAATGAATAGCTGTGAACAAGTGAAATCAGTGACTCATCTAAAGCATAATATTATATAGAATTCTTTCCCAGTTTAAGAAATTTTTCTGTGTTTTCCTGTTCCATGAGTGCTTTAACAATGCACAGAATTGGCTTAGTACATTGGGAATTTTATACTTCTGGTATACCTGTCAGTAGTTGTTTTTTGCAATTTCCATGAGTTGTGTTCAATTCAATTAGCTACAGCACAAAAAATAAATGTTGAGCTTTTGTTTCGGTTTGCAAGTAACAGAATGCAATCAGATAAAACAATCACTTCTAGGCACTACTGGTCCATCATACAATTAGAAAACATAAGCCAAGAATTGGAGATGGAATGTCACTTTCTGAGACTCTTACTATTATTAAAGAAAAAAATTCAGTACATACAAAGTACAACCAGAACACTCTGGACCCATCAGCATCGTATATGCTTATCAGCATGTCACCTTTGTTTTCTGAAATGTCAACTAACATAATAAACTAGTACCAAAAATAGTTATATACAAAGAAAAGAAAATGCTTAGAATGTATGCTTTAGTTAATTTATTCAACTAACTTAACAAACTAGTACCAGAAATAGTTATATAGAAATAAAATGCTTAGGTAAAGTCATCTGCCACATCATGACGTTCTGGCCAATGACAGGCTGCATCTACAAAGGTGGTTCCATGAGCTCACAATGCCACATTTTCACGGTGTTTTTCACGGTGTTGAGATACACAAATACTTGCCGTTGTATTACAACCACCTGCAGCATTTGGTGTAACAACACGCTGTACCAGACAGCAGCCTCAGAGCAATGGCGCGTGGTGTAATGCGCAGCACCGGCTACGTCTGCGTAAGTACTCCGGATGCTCACCTGGTTTTGGGTGAGCATGCCACAGCATAATTTGCGGGGGTACGAACTATGACGTTCACTTAGGTTTGTGTGAGCACACACTATGATGAAATGACCTAACAACTGCATTTCTCGGAATGCAACCCCTCATCATTAAGCAATGTATAACTATACTTGATCTTGATGAGCCACGGAGAGAGGGAGGTATACAATGCACACAAACATTCCCTCAAAGTTGAATATGATAAAGAGAAAATGATACCTAGAAGCCGCAAATCATTAGCACCTCTAATATGTTTGAAAATTCCCACTGAGCTAAATTGCCTCCAAAAAACAGGCTATGTCTACAAAGTTCCATGTCTGATGTCCCTTATCATTCTATTTCAGAAGCATTTTAGGAGAACTCTGCTACATATTCTACCCATCTGATCCATACTTAGCAGGGTTTCCCATCCTGTTCCCTCTGAAGCCCCCAAACCAGATGCCTCTGATGTCACATCAATGTGTCAGGTCACATGACTTCAGCAAACGTCTCTGCCTTCTTTTTCTTCTCTTACAAAATCGGAGCTGCTTGCAACCCTTTTGACATCTCAATTCAAAACTACAAAGAGGGTTCAACGACTTCAACTCATAAAGCAAAAAACTGGTAATGATTTGTGGAATATCAAAGGGGCAGGGGTAGAAAGTAGGGCAGTCTAACTCACGTAAACTAAAAGACAGCCTCCTAGTAAAAATTTACTCATCTGATGAGGCATCTCTACCTCCAGGAAGGAAGATAACAGCAGTGCCTCTTGCCACATTTAACGTTGAGACTTGAAAGCTGCCTTCTCCCTTTGTTGTAATTACCATCATCAGAAATTTCATAATCAATACACACAAGAAGAAGTTATGCATAAAGTGCATGAATTTACATTACCCAACGTGAAGTTCTTGTAATATATATTACTTAAAGGACATCTAAACATTTGAAGAGGAAAAAAAATCACATACTTGTAAGCAGTTCTGATACACATACATATACACACACACACACAGAGATATATTTGTTTGAAATGACATCATAGACAATCCTCTTTATTATAGTCTGCCATTTGGAAACAAAACTACTAATACTAATTTATATTCTATCTAATTATATTTTTGGAAACAAAGCTTATGCCAGAGAATTTTAAAATCTATATAACAACAGCTTACTATAATTATGTTCCACTATAAGAAATAATTATGCTTAGTGCAGCTTTGTTCACAATTTTAATGTTTGTAACAATCCTAATTTTCTTAGACAACACGAAGAAATTCCTGTTGATGTACACTATAAAAATGAACTACAATGCCCCCAAAAGATATCAGTGTCTTTTGACAATTATATATAAAAGTATTATAAAGCAATTACATAAAATAGTTTAATGGGTATAGAGAAAAAAATTACATGCATTAAAAAATGTTTTAGGCTGGCCAAGCTCAGCGACTCACGCCTGTTATCCCAACAATTTGGGATGCTGAGACAGGAGGATAGCTTAAGCCCAGGAGTTCTAGACCAGCCTGGTCAACATAGTGGGACCCCCGTCTACACACACACACACACACACACACACACACACACACACACACACACACACACACAGTAGCCAGGCGTCGCATCTGCCTGTAATCACAGCTACTCAAGAGGCTGAGGCAGAAAGATTCCCTGAGACCAGCAGGTCAAGGATACAGTGAGTCCTAATGGTGCCACTGTCTTCTAGCCTAGGCAACAGAATGAGACCCAGACTCAAAAAAATAAAAATAAAAAAATAAAGGTTTAGGTCAAATATATTAATAGATAAAATTTCTGAAATGCTATTTATTCTATATTGTAATTGATTTTATTATGTAATAGCATATTTTTATGTAGCAATAGTTCTAGTAAATGTTTCTTACCTGCCCCTTTCAACTGCTAAAGCATCAAGTTCATCAAAGAAAATAATAGAAGGAGCTACCGCTCTCGCTTTTCGGAAGATCTGGTGAAAAGAGTGCAAAGTTAGCTAAAGATCAGCAAACTCCAAAAACTTTTGTAGTTGGTTTTAGTTTGAAAATTGTATTTAAAACCAAATCTATTATGTGCCAGTCAAGCAGCCCAATCTCCTTGTGTAGATCTTATTAATAGATGCTCAGGACTCCATAATGGATGCAAAAGTATATCCTTCATTGGTGCTTACAATAACAAGACTATCAACACACATTCATATGGGTATAGCGAAGATAGTTCTGTTAAGCAAACGGAAAATCTCAGTTAAAGTCCCAGCTCTAATACTGAATAGCTGTATGACCTTAAACAGGGAACTTTCCTTCTCTGTGTTAATAAAATGGAGACAAGAGTTAAGTGCAGAAGATAATCTTAAGATTGAATAAAAAGAACACAGAGCAGCTGGCATGATGCCTGGAACATACTAAGAGTTCAGCAAATGAGAAACACTGTCAACTAGCATGACCACGTGGGTGAAAGAGAAAAACAGATGTGTGAAATCAGCCACAGATTTGCGTATATAACATGCGAGATAACCCAAAAGCCATATGCCTTGCTCATTTCTCTGAAGACCACAGAAAAGTAATGGCTGATGTAAAGCAAGGCCGAGAAACACAGGCAAACCTCCGAAGAACCAGGCTGGCTGGACCAGAAGTCAAGCACGCCGCCAACCTCAGACTGGCAGCCAGTCACGGGGCAGACGTGTGGAAATGACCTGGAAAAAGGCAGCCAGGCAGAAAAAGGGCCCAGCGTACACTACCTACGCCCTAGACCCCTGTTCTTCAGCACCTGCAGAACGACCACAAAGACACAGAGCAGCTACCAAAATATCAACAGGAACAAACACTGCCTCTCAAGTTGCTGTTTTATATGATGCTACCATCATCTGCATTTTTTAAAGGACATAAAGCAATTAAAAAATTTTTCTCATGACAGAGTATTCCAATCCCTAGTACTTCTCTTCAACACCCAGGTGTTCCACAAATAAGGGCCATCTATTCCAATGCCGTTTGCGAGTTCCTGACCTTACTTAGTGTACAGGGCCCCATTTGAGGCAGGCCACAAAGTGCTTAGGAAAGCCAAGACATGTGGACAAATTACTGGCCAGTTGCCTTGGCTTTGCTTGAATTTATCAGTAGAGCAGCTTTCTCGATGTCAAGGAATGGCATAATCAGGCACTGGCTTTAAAACTGAGGAGAGAGAGACAGACACGTTCTCCAAATAACCAGGCAGGGGTAAGAAAAGAAAAATAAGGACAGTACCGCGAAATTTTCATATACTAAGCTTACTCAATATAAAGAGCTATCTCGTCTAAAGAATTTAGATCCCATCTTGAGATCATGCGTTCTCCTTTACAGATATAGAAATAACCTTTTCTTCTTCTTTTTTTTTTTTTAAAGCAAACAGCTAGTCGTTGTTAGAAAATATTTTTACTTGGTAAAAATAAAGACAGGTAATATGATGTTTAAAAACAAAAAATAAAGGATTACAGGTGATCAGAACCATATTTTTAAATAATAATATTTGTCCCAAATCCAATAGAATTTGGATTTGGAAATTTCAAAGTCTATATCCAAAAACAAAATGGAAACCACACAGAAGAAACAGAGGTATGGTTCTCCTCTGCAGAGTGTCACTTAAGGCATAATATTCTTACCTCTCTAACTGCTCTTTCAGATTCACCAACATACTTATTCATTAATTCGGGCCCCTGCATGAAAAGAAAACCACGGCTCAGTCTCTTTATCAATTCAATGTCACATATTTATTTCAATAAAGGAGAAAGAACATACACAAGAGAAAAAATCCGCTTGCTAAATTAGTTCCTTTTACAAGCTTATTTTCTTGGGGTATAATTTATTCTTCAAAAGTTAAAGCCATTCTAAAGGTTGTGACTAAATGTAATATTTCAACAGCCACTCATTATCTGTCTCTTCCTCCATTCATACTTTTACAATGTGCCAGGGATGGAAGATGGAACAGCCTTATTTGGAAAACCAACAGAGAGGCAACATCCATATACGTTCAGGCCTAACCAGTGACTGGTTCTGAGTAGGTGTAGTTATCAGATTCAAAGATGCATATTTTTGACATAAACATTTCTGTTTTATATTTTTATGTTTTTGATTTTAAAGATGTGGGGTACAATTCGAAGTTAGGTATATAAGTGGTCATCAAACAGGTAAAGCTTGGACGTCCTTATTAATATTATGTGCCCCCACCCCCACCAGCCCCCAGCAGTGTCTTACTACTGCTAATCCCTCTCTTATAGTATTATGATAAATGTTCAGGGTCCACTTAGGAGTGATTACATGTAGTACTCAGATATTTGTTTCTGTGATAGATCACTGAGTATTATAGACCGTATATCTGAATTTTAACATGTTTTTCTTCTCAAGTACCTAAAATATCAGACATTATATAAAAATTAGTAGGCTTTCTTTTTTGCACCTATGTCTACTTTCTCAGGATACACAGTAACCTCAAGAAGTCATGGAATTTAAAAAAAATTTAACACTGTCCTCACAACAACCATCCACGTTACAGACAAGCATCAAGTACGCCCCATGATGACAATGTCTTATATCTTTCTTAGCCACAGAAACTTCTTTCCCGGTATGCTCACTGCTCCCCTCAGCACCTGGCTTTGTTGACATAGTCAGTAATATAACCGCAAATCCCATAGGTGGGGGTGTGTGTGTGTGTGTGTGTTCCCTCCACCCCCAACATGTGCTTGTACACACACACACACACTCCTGACGTCGAAAAAGAGTTATATTCTATTCCATGCAGATCATGGGTACACACAACTCAAGGGATGTAACTAGTCACTGGCTTGAAAATTTCCAAAACAGTTTATGTCAATTTTTTAAAATCTGCCTGATTAAAATACATAGGCAAATGCTGGCAGAATGCCAATTAATCCCACAAATTTGTATGCACATTAAGGCTTCACATTACAACAAAACTAGCACACAGTGTGACAAGTACTGTGATACAACCATGAGAGGGTACCATTAAGACATACGAAAGAAACCCCTTAGAGTCAAGGGATGTTCTTAGAGAAAGTAACATTTCAGGAGACTCCTCAGTTGACTTATTCCACATTCACAGAAAATGAAATCAAGACCCAGAACAAGTCTCAAAAAATTTGAAAAGCACAAACTAAATTTTCCGATTTAAAGACAGATTTGCTAATAGATTAAAAACACGACCCAACTATAAACTGCACAGAAGAAACTCATTCCACATATAAAGACACATACAGACCAAAAGTGAAGTATTTCCATGCAAATAGAAACGCAAAAGGAACAGGAGTGGATATATTCATGTCAGATAAAATAGACTTTAAGTCAAAAAACTGTAAAAAGAAACAAAGAGGATCACCACATAATGATTAAAAAGTCAATTCAGCATAAGGATACAACAAAAGTAAAAGTATACACCAGAAATGGGCACCGAAATACATAAAGCAAGTACTAACAGACCTAAAGGAAGAGACAGACTGAAATACAGTAATAGTAGCGACGCCAACACCCTGCTTTCAGCAATTAACAGACAATCCAGGCATAAAATCCACACAGAAACCCTGGACTTAAACTAAACTCTACACCAAAAGGTCCTAAAATACATTTACAAAACAGTTCATCCAACTACTGCAGAATGCATATTCTTGTCTTCAGCACATGGCACATTCTCCAGGACAGACGATATGTTAGGTCATAAAACAAGTCTCAACAAATTCAAAAAGCTCAAAATCATACCAAGTATCTTTTCTTACCAAAAAGAAAATAAACTAGAAATAATAACAACAAAAACTTTGGAAACTGTACAAATAAATGAAACTTTAAAATGTGTTCTTGAATGACCAATGGCGCAATTTAAAATATTCAAAAAAAGGTAAAAAATTAGACAAAAATTAAAAGATTTCTTGAAATATGAAAATCGAAACACAACATACTAGAATCTATGAGATACAACAAAAGTGCTACTAACAGGGACGTTAAAGCAGCAAACACCTATATCAAATAAATACAAAGAACAACAGAATGATGTACCATCTGAAGGAATTAAAAAAGAATCAATCAAAACAAAATCAGTAGAAGGAAACAAAGATTCGAGCAAAAATAGAGACTAAAACACAACAAAAGAGATGAATAAACAAAAAGTTTTTTAAAAGAAAAACCTGACAAACTTTTAGCTACACTAACTAAAAGAGAGAAGACAAATGAAATTCAGAGAATTGAAAGAAAACATTACAACTGATATAAAAGAAATACAAAAGAACAAAACAATGATATTGCAACAAATTGAAAAACCTGGAAGAATTAAATTCCTGGACATATGCAACATACTAAGAGTGAATCATAAGGAAATATAAAACAGATCAATAACAAGTAACACAACTGAAGCAGTAATAAAAATCTACCATCAAAGAAAAGCCCACGACCTGCTACCTTCTTTGCTGAATTCTACCAAACATTTAAAGAACAACTAATAGAAACTCTACTCAAATTATTTCAAAAAATTTAAGAAGGAATACTTCCAAACTCATTCTTATGAGACCAGCATTACCCAGAAAACAAAACCAAAGAAAAACAACAACAAAATAGAAGCCAACATTCCCGATGAATACAGATATAAAAATCCTCAGCAAAATACTAGTAAACCATGTTCAAACCACATTTAAAAGATCATGCACTATGATCAAGCAGAATTTATCCCAGGGATGCAAGGATGACTCAACATAAGCAAATCCATAAACCTGATCCACCAGTAGAATCAACTACAAAAACCCATGGGCATTTCAACAGAAGTTGAAAAAACATTTGATAAAATTTAACATCCCTTCATGGATATACAAGGCATACATACGCCCCCAACAAGACAAAGGTCATTAATAACACGCTCACAGCTAGTATCATACTGAACAGGAAAAACTAAAAGCCTTTCTACTAAGATCTGAATCAAAACAAAGATGCATACTTTCACCACTTCTCTTCAACATAATACCAGAAGTCATAACCAGAGCAATTAGGCAAGAGCAAGAAACAAAGGGCATTAACACTGGAAAGGAAGAAGTCCTGACTTGCAGATTAAAAATTCTTATACTTAGAAAAACCTAAACACTTCACGCCCAAAAATTCTCAGAATAAGCTAATTTAGTAAAGTCCCAGGATATACAACCAACACACAAACATCAATCATGTTTCTATACACTAACAGCAATCAATCTAAAAAAGAAACCCACAGATCTATCCAATTGACAATAGCTACCCAAAAAAAGAAGAAAAGAAAACTCTAGAAAAAAATTTTACCAAGTGAAAAATCTCTACAAGAAAAACTATAAAACACTGATGAAAGAAACTAAAGAGGACACACACACACACACACACACACACACACACACACACACACAAAGATGAAAAGATATTCCATGCTCATGAATTGGAAGAATTTATACTTTTACAATGTCTATACTACCCAAAGCAATCTAAATTCAATGCAATCCCTATCAAAATACCAGTAACATTCCATACAAAAATAGAAAACCAATCCTAAAATTAATATGGAAACACAAAAGACCATGAGTAGATAAAGCAATCCTGAGGAAAAAGAACAAAGATGGAGGCATCAAACTATCTGATTTTAAGGAACACCACAAAGTTATGGTAACTAAAACAGCATAGTACTGGTATAAAGACAGACATATAGACCAGTGGAACAAAATAGAGAACCCAGAAATAAATTCATGCACAATCAACTCATGTTCAAAAAAGGTGTCAAGAACATACATGGGGGAAAGAACAACGCCATTAATAAATGGTATCGGGAAAATGGAATACCCGCATGCAGAAGAATGAAAGTAGACCCCATCTTTCACCACATATAAAAATCAACTCAATATAGATTAAAGACCTAAATGTAAGACCTAAAACTATAAAACTACAAGGAAAAAAAACTGGGAATACTCCAGAAATTTGGTCTGAGCAAACATTTCTTTTTGGGGCAAGATGTGAAAATTAACAGGTAAAAAAAGCAAAAAAAGACAAATGGGATTACACCAACCAAAAAGCTTCTGGACAGAAAAGGAGACAATTAACAAAGTGTAGAGACAACCTATAAAAAGAGAGAAAATATTTGCAAACTCTACCCAACAAAGGATGAACAACCCCAATACAAAAGGTACTTCAAAAACTCAACAACAAAAAAATAAGTATCCAATTAAAAACAATGAAAAGACCTAGATAGATATTTTTCAAAAGTAGACACACAAATGACCAAGTACACTAAAAAATGTTTAACACCAATAATTAGCAAAAAAATACAAATTAAAACGACGATGAGATGTTATCTCACCCATGTCAGCATGGCTTTTAACAAAAAGACAAAAATAGCACCTGCTGGTGAGCATGCCAAAACGCAAAATGGTTGTATACTGTAAAGCAATCCTGAGGAAAAAGAACAAAGCTGGAGGCATCAAACTATCTGATTTTATCTTATTATTTCTTTCTTTTGTTTTTGAGTTGGAGTCTCACTCTGTCACCCAGACTGGAGTGCAGTGGCCGCTCCCAGCCACCGCAGCCTCAACCTGCTGGGCTCCAGCGATCCTTCCGCCTCAGCCTTCCGAGTATCCGGAATTACAGGCATGTGCTACCACGACCGGCTGATGTTTTGATTTATTGTAGAGATGAGGTCTCGCTGCCCAAG